ACCTGGGGTGGATTTAGGAGAGATATTTGAAGATTGTAAGGTAACATACAGGTTGTAAAGTTGCGCTTTAGTCATCCTGCGCGAGGGCTGAATATCAGAATTTATCAGCGCTTGTCTCAGACTCAAGACTGTCCACTTTCCAATAGGCGGAATCGTTGGCACGGCCGAACGATAGGAGGACGCTGGCGAGGAAGCTGGAGTCCTCGCCGGTGGAGGTGAGGGTAGACCTCGACGTCTTGGCGTGCGAGGAGTTGTTTGTACTGACCGGCGCCCACGAGATGAAACGTGGGGCTCGGAGGCGGTATCAGGCGGAGAGGTTGTCCTGGGGCCAGCTGATGGCGGCGGAGCATGGTTGAGCTCGTCATCGGACGGTTAAAGTTGCATTTGGGACATCTTTTAGCAAAGCAGTACGCCAAATGCTGAAAACTGTCGAGGAATATGGGTGAGTTGACTGTGTGTATTTATAGGCTTTATTTGTGCTGATTGAGTGGACCAGTTGATTACTGATTGCTGACAGCTGGCTGACTTGATTGTTTGATCATTAGAACGTGTTCCTCCCGAACCTTGTTAATAAAACATCAATTAAAACTAGACCACGAGTAATATTAAGAAGTGGAATGCAGATAATGCTGATCCCTGTCTGTATGGGTTGATTATTCGTCGATGTCTTGGTAATGCCTCGGGGCTTCAGTAGGGGGATCGCGGCACGCTTTCCTTCCTCATTCAATACAGACGAGTGAAGGCGAGAGCTGCGTGTGTTTCTTTAACCTTCTCTCCTTACTTTTCCCCTTTTTAAGGTAATTATCACTCACAAAGCAATGTAGATTTTAACATGTTCATAGTACATTTCGTTATGTTACTGTGGTTTTATATGAGTAAAAGAGACGCTTTTGCATGTGTATATTGGTTAAAGAGTTTCGTGCTAACTGAGAAGATGTGTAACATTATGCTAGCAGCAGGAGACCTCGTGGCTCCGTCGTGTCCGAGTCCCGCCATATACGAGTGTTAACATTGTCGTTGGTGTTTAAGCTAGCTACTGCTACGTCCACATATTTTGTTGTAAGGTTTATTGTGAATTTATCACTATATGGGTGAGTTTGTGTTATGCTGAGACACTGAATACTGTTAAAAGTATAATTCATTTTAGTGTTATTTGAGAACTAATTTAAAAAGGAGTATTAAAATGTCATTTGATAACTTTAAGACAATTTATATTTTATATGGTAATTTAGTTCAAAAGATAATTTAGAATGCATTATGCCTGGTTCAGATTACACGATTTTAGCCCGATTTTGGCACGATCCGTTTGACGTAGGGTGTCGTGGGGATTCGTATAACGACAACGGGCGTCGGGACGCAAGATTCGATCGTATCATCTCGTATAGTGTGTCATAGTGGGCGACAACCTACGTCGCGTCTGCGATGCTTCACGACATCACGACAAAAAGACTAGCATGTTTAATTTTTTTAACGGTCGTCCATGATGGGTTCCGTCACATGTATGAGGTTGACCAATAGGAGCACAGAAGCTTTTCTGTACACAACTTTCAAAAATGGCGAAACGAAAGAGAGACGATGGTGCTACTAGGTGGAGTTATGACATGGAGGAAAGGTTCGTGGAGCAGCGTGAGCGAGTGAGTGAGTGTGATTGACAATTACAGACACTAGATTTTACATTTGTAATTGATTTCTTACCTACAGCCGGTGAGGTCCAAACAAAAGCTGCTTCCCTCCGAACACAGTATGGGAAAGTACTCCGTTCAAAACCGAGTGGCAGCGGCGACAAAGAATTAACTTCCAGACAGAAGTGGATTTTAAAAAACCAGCAGTTTCTACAGCCTTTTGTTGTACAACGCGTGTCTCAGTCTACACTGAATGTAAGTTTGGGGTAAAGGTTGTTACAGTACTTTCCAACTTTTAAATACATTTGTGAGCTTTCTATATGCTTCCAAACATGTATTGTGCCATTACTTATGCCTGATATTTCATACAACTTGTTTTATCGTAGTTGGATGACTTGGAACACAGCATCACAGATGAGGGTGGAGAAGATCAGGAGACAGAGGAGGATGTGTTCGAGTCATCCACCTCCACCTCCCACCACACATCTGGACCATCAACTCCACAAACCTCACTTGAAGCCTCATCATCCCACCAGCATCGTCAGGTTCCTGAAAGAGCACATTACAAACCCAAACAAAAGTTACGAGACAAATCATTAGATGAACTTGAAATGGAGAAAGTAACCATTTTAAAAAATGTATCTGAAACACTGGTAAATGCCGGTACGGATGTTGATCAAACATTTGGCAAACAGGTAGTTACTGAGATTAAGCTAATTAAAGACCCTCTGACCAAGATGAGACTCCGTCGCAACATCCTTATGATGTTATACGATGCACATGAAAATGAGGCCAGATTAGCATTACATCCTGACTCCCAGTGACCTTTACGCCCCCAAACACCTTGGCAGGGACACACAAATTTGAATCAACCCTACCAGAATACATCCATTCATGTACCCTCTGTAACACCTCCAGTGAGCTACCTCAGGGCAGTAGAAGTGGTATACGACCAGGAAATAAATGGGGTGTAAGTTCAAGTATTGATCCCTTTTTTTGTGTGTGATGGTGCTAGACTGCAGTCACATTGTGTCTTAAATGCTGTTTGTTGTTGGCACTTTGAATGATGTTTATGTTTAAGCTGTTTTGCAATATTTGCACATTTTATAAGGGTTAATGTTTGCGAGCCTTTTTTCCTTTGTTCAAAACTTACGACTTATGAAATGAGTTAAGAAAAGTGTAATTTGATTTAAAAAAAAACATTTTGGTAACACTTTATTTTGATGGTCCCCCTATAGATAGTCTATAGATAGTCTGCTAACTATAAGTTACTTTACAAGTACATATCTACTTACTCTCACCAGGGTAGTATCTGTAGATTCTCTATTAAATATTTTGTAACAATCATTACATTGTATGTAACATGTAAACTGCTATTAAACATTATGTCAGTAAAGTGTTATCAATTTAGGTTGCAGATGTTCAACAGCGTATTTGTAGACATGCAACAAACCCTCAACAGGTTCTCAGTAATTTTAGAAGTCAGCATGTAGCCATTCACCAATGTATCAACAGACTTTCAGTTAACATTCAGTTGTCCTATAAAGAAGTCAGCATGTAGCCATTCACCAATGTATCAACAGACTTTCAGTTAACATTCAGTTGTCCTATAAAGAAGTCAGCATGTAGCCATTCACCAATGTATCAACAGACTTTCAGTTAACATTCAGTTGTCCTATAAAGAAGTCAGCATGTAGCCATTCACCAATGTATCAACAGACTTTCAGTTAACATTCAGTCGTCTATAAGTAGCAACACAAGATAATTTCAAATTAACTTTAAGTATATATCTGGTTACTTACCCTTTATCTTTTGCTTTTCGCAAAGATTTTCAGAAGTGTTCTTCTAACTGTTTGTTGCATATAAATTTTAGCTTGCAGATGTTCAACAGCGTATTTGCAGACATGCAACAAATCCTCAACTGTCTATAAGTAGCAACACAAGACAATTTCAAATGAACTTCTGGTTACTTACACTTTATCTTTTGGTTCTGCAAGGATTTTCAGAAGTGCTCTACTAACTGTTTGTTGCATATAAATTACCTTTCAGTAGACAGTCATTTAACTTTGAGGTAAATTCATATATTCATCTGTTGTCACATTTGGCCCATCAAAATGAAGTGAAAATCTAAGAAATGCTGTTGAATGACTCTTGCAGGCCAGCATCACAGGTTAAAGTCAGTTGATTTTCAGCAGACAGTCAATAGATAGTAAGTACCGACACTGATGAGCATTTGGTTTAAAATTAAGAAAATAACAGTACCACAGTAAAAGTACATATCTGCCAAATGGGAAATAAATACCAGAGTCATTACTTTGTCCAGCCAACTGCTTTTAATGAAATGCTGTAAAAAAAAAAAAAATTAAGTGGACAGCATAGAATTACCAGACTAAAGAGAGGACCAAACATGTATGAAAAAAATGTGTCTGTTTTCAGTAAACTGCTTATCCTAGAATGACAAAACAATTTTTGTAACAATAAAATGTTAGGTTCTGTAGGTTAGGTAGGTTCACTTCAAATAACATTTAAATAGGAAAGATAAACATCCTCTTAAAGGAACACTCCGACTTTTTGGGACTTTAGCCTATTCACCTTATCCCCCAGAGTTAGATAAGTCCATACATACCTTTTTCATCTCCGTGCGTGCTATAAGTCTGTTTGATGCACCCACCGCTAGCCTAGCTTAGCACAAAGACTGGATGTAAATGGTTGCAGCTAGCATACTAATCCAAATAAGTGACAAAATAGCGCAAACATTTTCCTATTTACATGTTGTGATTTGTATAGTCACAGAGTGTACAAAAAACTACGTCACATGAGACACAGACATATTTTAACAGTATAAATACTGGGAACTATATTCTCTGAAGGCGAAGCACTGCTACTTGGGCGGAGTAATAACCGCAGCACCTGAGACGCACCGTACCCAAACTCTGAACGAACTCTCTGCTCCTCACCACGGTGCGTCTCAGGTGCTGCGGTTATTACTCCGCCCAAGTAGCAGTGCTTCGCCTTCAGAGAATATAGTTCCCAGTATTTATACTGTTAAAATATGTCTGTGTCTCATGTGACGTAGTTTTTTGTACACTCTGTGACTATACAAATCACAACATGTAAATAGGAACATGTTTGCGCTATTTTGTCACTTATTTGGATTAGTATGCTAGCTGCAACCATTTACATCCAGTCTTTGTGCTAAGCTAGGCTAGCGGTGGGTGCGTCAAACAGACTTATAGCACGCACGGAGATGAAAAAGGTATGTATGGACTTCTAACTCTGATCTAACTCTGGGGGATAAGGTGAATAGGCTAAAGTCCCAAAAAGTCGGAGTGTTCCTTTAACGAACAACTTCTTTCAAAACAACTTTTTTCTTTGACATCACTTATTTAGGCAAAAAGGCAAAAGTGAACCTTTTATTTTCATTGCTAGCACTTTTTCTTTAACGTCCCCCACAATGTGTTCTCTGCACTTCTCCGCGAACTCGGCTAGCTTCCCTGGGGTGAAGCTGATGCTGTTGAACTGGACCCTGTCTGCAAAGTAGAGCTCCGCGATAGGGGCGAGCTGAGCCACTGCATTCCGAGAGACACCCTCTTTTCTGAAGGCTTTGGTCATGGTTGCTCCACGTCGCGTTAGCTTCAAAAGCCTTTTGTATCGACGTAAAACATCACGAACATTGTTGGCTGAAAAACAATCAAAACAAACAAAAGTGAATAACTCACTGAGAGAGATACCCTCCCCAACCAAATTATTTTAAATAATATGGGGCAATATGTGTCTTTGGCTGTATTAAACAGCTTTTTAAGCCAAGTGATTTAAAAAATTTAGTTTAAAAGAGTTTAACCAATTTAACCCACTGGGGGAAGAAATTTCATCTTCAAGATGTGTGTGACCATCATATGACAGTAACAGAGCACACGCAATCTATTCTAATATGGAATTGTAATGGAATAGTAAAGAGTGACAGGAGGGAAACGGTTTTTGAAAATGGTCTCCGTGTAAACAAAAAAAAAGTGAATTTCTGAAAATGATGACGTCATGCACATGTGTATTACGCATTCTGTCTATAGTGTATCATCGCCATCTAATGGCCTGGCAGCAGAATACAGCGTTTTTAATCATTGTGATCTGTGTGAATGGCGATCGCTTTGACAATTGTGTCGTCTGTATGCGGAAAACTCAAAGAAAAACATTCTCTGCTTTAAGCATATCGTTGTCGTGTAAACGTACCCTAAGATTGCTCCATCATTGGCCTAGAAAGATAACATTCTGGGAGTCAAGACTATAAAGGAGGAAGGATGCCCTCCCTTCACTGTCACACTCTGCAGCCACTCTGTGTGACTGTTAGACTGCTGACCTTTTATTGCAAGAAAATAAACCTCATCAAAGACATATATAGTATATTTGTCTCTTATTCAGAATTGATTATTGTTTATTTGCAACAAAACCACCTTCAAATAATTTGCTATGGATATTTAGCTTAATTTTGTTTGGTTTATTTTTCCAGATAAAGTTTAAAAACACTTGGGGGCACTAAGCTAAGAAAAAAGTACTGTTGAGACCTGATTAAAACTCTTCCATGTATAGAAAGATGTTTGAATATTGTTCTGAGAAGTAAAGCTGATAGGTTTGCTTCACAACTTGATAAAGATTTGATTGAGTACTTGTCTCCTGGATATTTTATACTGCCATTGTTTAATTAGTTTGTTTTAATATTTGTATGACCCAATAACCTAAGTCTAATTTGCTCAGTAAAGAAACTGTTTTGGAGTGTGACGTTGTTCTGAAAGGACAACTCATCCAATCTGGACTAGCCACTAGATTAAAGACTCACAAGGTTTTTCACTCAGCCCCGGAAATTTTGAGGATTTATTAATATCTGTAGCCACAACGAGAATGAACCCCACACGAGTGAAGCGTTCGTACATAATCAAACACAAGGGGCTGCATATTCCAGATCACCCCAGGCACTGGAGTCAAGAGACCCTTTGTTGTTTAACTAAAGGAAGAACATTGTCAATGTTTTATAATTTGGCAAGAACAGATCTGTTCAGAAATGGTGAAACAAGAGGCCCTAACAAGAAGTCACCTGACCCCTGCGACTAAACAGACTGAACCATTCAGGGGCCCGAGCTAGTTTTCCCCTCATCAATTAGTACGTCTCCTTGTGGATGTCCATACAAAAATACCCTTTGTCTTGAAGACAACCATTTGCGAACTAAACCCTTACGTGGTACACACCACGGATGCGACAAATGCTGACCATAAGGATACCCACACACACACACACACACACACACATATAAGGACTTTCCTCCAATTCTCCAATACCAATAAACTCATCCCAGAACAATTCTTGACTGACCCATAATCAAAATCATGTAACATAACATAATTATATATTGTGTTTACAACCCCTGTATGTGTCTATTCTGCTTAGATCACATCTAAGTCATGTAATTGTTATAACTGTGAGATGCTGGAATGAAAGTGTCATTTTTCCTATCATTATGCTCATATATTATTAATTCAGAAGGTGGCTTGATTGAAATCTGTGTAAAAATGTTTATGTTCTTAAAATGGCAATTATGTATAAACTGAATTCGCTGTTCGAGCTGATGAATAAGCATAACACATGATTCGCGATGAAAGAAAGGGGGGGGGGGGGGGGGGGGGGGGAGAGGGTTGATAGAAAAGACCCCCTTCTCAAATAACCATATAGTATCTTATTGTCCGAATTCCAAATTCCTCCAGGAGGCGGGACAAACATTTTGAGTTTAAAATCTTAGACCCGAACACAGAATCGCTCTCTTGTGATGCTCTCTTGTGTTCTCATTCTCTTGTGCTCTCTCTGGTTCTCTGGGGCTCTTGCCCTCTGCTCTCTGATGCTCTTGCTCCCTTCCCTTGGAAAAGGTCTCGGCAGAACAAGCCGGGTGGAGCCGACGATGGTTATAGTAACCATGTAGACGCAGAGACAAATGACCCAAATCAAGATATGGGTTAAAACAGATTTAATTCAAGCCATCTCGTCACACTTTTCTTTCTTTTCTTAGTTTGTTTTCTTTTCCGTTAAAAGTCTCGGTTCTAAGTTAAGTTGTGCTGCAAAGTTTCGTTTAAAATGTTTCGACTGCAACACGCTTCCAACTTCAAAGACTTTCATCCATCCGCCAACACACCACGTGACTGGCTGCCCAAGATCTATCAAGCACGAGGAGACCGCCAGCCAAACCACGGACCCGGGGAACACCTTTACACCGACAAAAGGGAATCCCCAAAAGCAACCCAAGGACAAGCAAGTACCTCCAGACTTTTAGCTGAAACTGCAGGTGCATTTTAATATCAAATTGAATTACCCGCCTAAGAAATTAATTAGGTGAAATTAATTAAGGGTGAAATTAATTATTGATGGTTCGCTCAGGCCATGTCTTTTAAGTGCATAAAGAAACTTGGGATCTCACCATCGAACTCCTAAAACTCATTCTTCCTCACTCTCTGTCTTTCTTCAACTTGTATGAATGCGTGTGCGTGTGTTTGTGTTATATTAGTTTTATGTGTGTTAGTCATAGGCTTATAATCAATAAAGTATTGTTTGTATTTGAAAAGAGAAGCATTACTTGTGTTATGTGCTTACAGATTTATTGTCTTGAACTTCGATCTAAGTTACCTATGCTTTGACCCTTGATTTATTTCTTAATTTAGCTGTTAGCTGGGAATTAGTCTTTCTTGGCCAAGAAGATATTATATTTCCTAGAATTAATAATTGTTTATGCTTTCCGTTCATTGGATGAACTGATAAACTGATCATTCTATTGATTTTGCTACAGTAAATTCTGAAAATAATTCAATTATTAATTATTGATCATAATCCGTTATGAATAATAATTAATTATATCTATACGTGCGTATAAACGCTACATATCGGTCCCACTTTATATTAAAAATAAGTGGGAAAAGTGGGACCTTTAAAATCGGTCCCACTTTTAAAGACACCTGTCTTTAACTATGCACTTGTGTTAAACTTAAAAAGATTAATTGTTAGGTGCAATGTACTTATTGTGTTTATGTTGCATTGTAAAACACTTTTGCTGCTATTGAGGTGGGATACGGGTAAGGTTAGGGACAGGTTTGGTGATATATTTAGTTTTCAGGTTGAGTAAAGTGGTAGGGTCAACAGTAATTACATGCAGGTATTTTTTTAATATACGTACAACATAAAACACATATATGTGCACAATAAGTGCATTGTAGCAAATTATCAATTTAAATGTTATTACATAGTAGTTAAATAAACTTAATATGGAGAGGGTTCTTAATATCTAAAACCAAAGGTGCCTCTGTACTTTCCCCAAGAAAGAACGACGTATCATATGGAAGTAATTACTGGATTTATTTTTACAAGTTAAACTGTTTATTTATGTGCTAAATTAACACCTAATATAAATATATACATATATCTTGACTAATGTAATTGACTTAAGTCCTGGAATGTATCACATCACTCCTGCATCCTTTTTGAAGCTTGGAAGCTCCAGTTCCCCTTAATTTTAATTGCATGGAAATCAGCATCCAGTAAGTGAAACCACTAGCTCTATAAAAACGTTGTGTGAGCTGTGTTTACCTCGTTTTATCTTGTCATATTCATTCTTGTCCTTCCTCTTGTTCTTCTTATGTTTCTTGCTTTTGTTTTTCTTGTTTTTGCTTTTCTTTGTTTTTCTTCTTTGACGAGTCCCTTCTGAACTTGAACTTGAAGAGGAGTCATCACATGATTCTTCTGTGACTGATGATTCTACATCAGTTGATGTGTTCCCATCACTAGATAGGTCAACAGCCCCAGTTTCTTCATGTGCCACTGATGTTCTAGGAATCAGATCATCTGAATGAAGAAATATAACAAATATTGCATCAAAATCAATACAAATTCAATATACATTTACAGTTCCTTTTATTGCCATTGCATGATACATACAATGAAATGAAGGTGTACTATCTGCAACAGTGCTCAAAATACATTTTAAGAATAAAAATATGGAAACCACACATCTAAAATATATAATCTATACAATCCAATGTATATAATGTATAGATTATACAATGAATGTTGAGCTGTTACTTTGCTGTGCTGAAAGCTCCACTACTTGCTGCCGAAGCTCACTGTTCAGGGCTTCCAACTCCTTCACTTTATTTTGTAATACTTCGGCCTTGTTCTGCCACATCAGTATTTCTTGCTTTATTGGCTTCATTGTATTCACTGGAGCTAAAACAACAACAAAACAGTGAGTAGTTTCACTGTTGTATACAGTGATAAGACATTTATGTAGTTTACAGAGTTAACAGTTACAGCACTATACAAAAGTAACAGAGTATATAAATATATTAAGAGAAAAGAGATTTCCTATACATTGAAGGGCACAAATAAAACTAAAGAAACCAGTGTCGTAAGTGTAAGAACTGCTATTTGCTAAATGATTACAGTTTGACAAATCGCTTACCTTCACATTCATCCTGTAGACTTTCTACCCGTTTTTTACGGGTGTTGTAATGTGACATCTAATAATCAAAAAATAAATACATTAATAAATCATGTCAATGACTAAAGTGACAAAGTTTATTTTTAACATTTGTCATTGTTATATTTTTGATATACTTGTATGCAAAAAAAAAAATATGATTTTAGGCATTACTAGTTTACTGCAAGTGATTAACATATAACACACATACAACACTAAAGGTGATGATACACACAAAGCAATTTTTTGAGCAATGTTGCTGGGCAATGTTGCCATCAGCGGGCAACCAGATGAGACACCGGGCCCACGACCCATCTAAATTATCCAGATAGAAATGTATTGCCCATTTTCAATGGAAATGTGCCCAAGCAACAATCGCTCGGCAAGATTGCCCAGCAACATTGCTCAAAACGTTGCCCTGTGTATCACCTTAATATGTTCTGTTTTATAGAAACGGTTTCATGTCTTCAATACATTACAGAAACAAATAAAGCCGATCACTTTCACTACTTAAAACAGGACTTTAAGTAAAATGACATTGTACGTCAAAAACTAAATAAAATACCTTTTCCACAGTTGTTAAGACGTCTGGAGCGTTCGATCACACCGTACGGGAGTTCAGTTCAAAAATGGCTTTTCTGCCGCGTTAAGGAAGATCCATTGGGCGGTAAAACTTTTTAAGCACCTTTTAAGTAGTCTTCCTCAAGAGGGCGCGGCTGCTAAGAGAGTCGAATAATCTATTCGACTCTGTCTTATAATATAACACACAATTATAAACACATACAATTTTGTTTTAATTTATTTGTCATACAAATTAAAATCTGCCACAGTAATCTTGAAAACATGATTAAATCATTTGTGTTTGAGTTATCGGAAATGACTGTGTGACAACCGCTGAGAAATGTATCAGTTAACTTGTGACATCGCCGTCGGTGCAGTCGGGACAGAAAAAAAACCTACTAAATAATAACACAAATAAACCCTTATTACAATTTAATAATAATTAAATATTATTAAAAAAACAAAGACCATAGAGTTTATTATTTTATTTAAAATAATATGTATTCCCAAAAACAACTGCGCCGTCAAGACCCGCCCATTTCCGGATTTGTCTGTTCGAAATCGCGCCATCAGAGCTCTCTCTATTTTTTTAAAAAACATCTATATTTGTTACAATTCAGGTTATGAAGTTCGGGTAGGAGGGAAGAAATCAAACTTAGAAGGTAAAAGAAGTAAAAAGAAGAATAGATGGATATTTAATCAACTGTATAGATGAGCACTTTATTAAGAGCACTCATTGAGAAAGTTTATGTTAGTGAAACGAACAAGTCACGTCTGAAATTAATAAAGTGGATGCAAAGAAAAAGATTACTTCATGGTAGAATGAAATGCAGGCGATGCAAGAAACGCATGAAAATGGTTACCTCTTCTTGTAAAGATGGTTACATCTGGTAAGTATCTGATTATTAATGTACTTATTTATGGAAATATCAGGCATGTAAACAAGCTGAGAAATATGTGTAACATTTATAGAAGATTATAACGGGAAAAAATAAAGAAGGAAAAACTTGTTTCCGTTCACATAAGCATACATGCACAAAATATACTGTACAAATTATAAACTGAAATACACTTTAGCAAATCTTTTTTCTTTGCTACTTTTACAAAATGTCACCCTCTTATAGTCCATAACTATCAGAAATGATGTAATAAAATGCAAAGATTTTTTTATTTTTTTATTACAATTTGTTAGTTTTCTTGTTAGGTGTTCAAATGTTGCTGGCCCACTTTGGCTGAGTGTGTTAGATAAAGTGGACCAGGGATTCAGGAAAAATGGGTGACCTTTAACCTTCAGTAATGATAATCAAATTCATTAAATAAATTGACATTCACTGGTTATTTTATATTTGACATGTATAATCTACTTTTTAGAAAATTGAAGTGAGTGTACATTACCTCCATTCACCCCTAAGGGAAAGATTAAGATACTTTTATTTTTCTACATACAAATTGACAGACATCATTCCAGAATTTAACAAGATGACAATTCCAGAAAAGGTGGGATAATGTTTCTGGTTAATTTATACAGAATTCACATGCATTGGTCATTTAAACTAAAAGTCCATGATCACAAAATATTAATGTAATCACAGACAGACTCGATGATGGTGAGATCAGGGGACAGTTGCATAAACTTAGCCACTATGTTTAAGACTGTGTCTTAAGAACTAATTTGGCCAACTAGAAATTAGTCAAGGGGTAATCACTCTTACTTTTCTGATTCAAATTAGACTGATCTACCTTTTTAGTAACTGACTTTTAAAAAGTTAGTACCAGTCTTGAAAAAAAAAAATTAGATGACTAACTTAAGACTAGTCTAAGCAGTTTATGCAACCGGCTGATCATACCGGCTGTTGTCAGACTCCTTGTGCATACCAAAATCTCCCTGGATTATTAATTTATGATTATGATTATTTAAATTAATGTTTGGTAATGTAAACTGATATTTCCTACTGACACACTACAGCAAAAGATAACAAAATAACTGGCTTAAACAAAACAAAAATGTTGTGGTGAAAATACTAACGTGCTTAAGAATGTTTTTATATGATGAATACTTCTCATTTGCAGGCAGTGCAAGAAGTCATGTAGACGAAACAGAAAAAGCATTAGGACCAAGTCACTTTTTTCCCATTCCCATGCAAGCCTTTTTAGTTGGATGAAGTATATACACAGGTATGTTTATATTGTCTGTGATCTCTAGTGCCTTTTCATCCATAACATTCTGCACATTACATTTTTGATTCTGTCATTTTACAATAATATTCCATGGCATTATGTTTAGATTTTCACAGGGTCTCCATATGCGACAGGTGGATATGATGTTAGATAACATCTCAAATAGTAGTGCGACTCTGTCCAAGATGTCCATGAAACTGCGAAGTGTATGTGTGAGAAGTATGCGGAGGCTCAGGAAAAAAAGTGGACAAAAAGTTGGTGGGCTCAATATATGTGTACACATTGACGAAAGCAAGTTTCGCCACAAACGGAAAGTAAGCCTTGACCAAAAGAAAAACATTTCTTCTCTTCACATGTGGATGTATGGACAAGACACAATATTGTTACATAGTTCTTTATGCTTTAGATTACAGCGGGCAAAGTACTGTGTAATTAAAACAAATTTACAGTTTAACTTTCGGTAATTATAGTGTACCTATAAGTACTTACATGTAAGTATAAGGGAACAATATGTAATAAAGTGGTAACAACCACGAGAATTAATTAATTATTTATACTGTAATTATTTTAGAACTAAGGTGTACTTATTCTACTATTATGATGGAACAACCCTACATTTGGGAGAGATTTAGCAAGAACATACACTGTTTACCTTTTTGTAATAATAGTGTACCAATACATTTGAAAGATTGCAGGGTACATATATGTGCATTTATAGTTTTTTTTTTTGCTAGCAAAAGTGCAGATGTTTTAGATTGGTCTTACACATTTCAAAGCAAGTCAAAATTTTACAATTTATTTTTAAATACTGGGGAAATACTCTTGTTTCATGTAGTTACAGGGTAAGTGTGACATTGTGGGCTTTAAATTAAAGTGGTGCTTGTTACCCTCTTGTTCCATGAAGTTACAGTAAGTTACGGTAAGTACAATAAAAATACATACACATCTAATATCACTGACTCGGAAATCTTTATTTGAAAACCAACTTAATTCAAAACAGATTCACAACACTTCTTATTTTGTTTAAAAGTACTCTTTTTAATCAACATTTAATTTCAATTATTGACCGAAAGTAGCACGTTTTGTCCCATTTTTTTATTTCTCTTGTTCCTCTTCTTCTTCTTCTTCTTTCTTTTCACTGATGAATCTTAAGAAGAAATCATGTCTTTTGCTATTCTGTATTAAAAGAAAATGCAGTACACCCTGTAATACATCCTCACCTGTTACCCTCATGCCATCCGAGATGTATACGACTCTCCTTCTTCAGATTAACACAAATTAAGTTTTTTAGAAAAAAAAAAAATGATCTCTGGGAATACGTATAATGCAAGCTCATGTGTTCATAAAAGTTGGAGCATCAAACAGCACATACTGCAATAAACATGCGTGTGCATGAGAGTTGAGTTCAAGCTTGACGTGACGTGAGCACGCCGGAAGTCGGATGCCGTCAGTCTTTATTTATTTATTTATTTTAAAATATTGCTCACAACAAAATACAAACAATAACAGACAATAACAATGAGAAACAAACAAGAAAGAGACGCTAGTTCTCGCGTGAGTTTCACAGCGTGCTTACGTCAAGCTTCATTTAGTGCTTCACAAAGTGCTTACATTTACGTCAAACATGAACTAGACTCTCATGCACAGATTGACAGTTGTTGACAGTTTGTAGGAAGCGAAAAGTAAATTATGTAAAAAATTCTGGGTGTACTGCATTTTCTTTTAATACTTAATACAGAATAGCAAAAGACATGGAATTCCTTCTTAAGATTCATCAGTGGAAAGATTGAAAAAGGGGAAGAGGAACAAGAGGAGGATGAAGGGCAAAGGGCAAAAGTGCTTCTCTCTGTATTTGAAATAAAAAAAATATATTTAAAAAAATATTTTAGATGAATAAGAAGCGTTGCAAGTCTGTTTTAAAATAAGTTGTTTTTCAAACAAAGATTTCTGAGTCAGTGATATTAGACTGTGTATGTATTGTTATTGTACTTACCCTGTAACTAT